CTTACATGTGGAAATGATAATATTTTGGATAATGAGTTAAATAAAATACTTATTAAAATTAATTTCACCTATTTCTTTTTACTTTTTTTAATGTGGCTACTAGAAAATTTTAAGTTACATATGTGACTCACATTATTTTTCTATTGGATAATGCTGGACTAAATCAAAGATCATTTTCACATACAAACCACATCCAGTTTCTTGCACCTGATTCCCTAAGTTTTCTGGGTAGGAAGGGGAATTCGGTTAGAATGTCTGAATGGAGTCAAGGCTTTCATTTAAACCTGTGCTCAGAATATACAGGGAATATGAGATTGTTATTAATATTTTTTTGTAAAATTCTATCAGTCAGATGTTCTACACTTTAGTAGGTTTGCTGTTTTAAAGAAAAAAATAAATAATCCCAACTCTTGCTGTATTCCTGTATGTTGAGTCAAAGTCTTAACAAGGACATGTAATCCTCGTGCAGCCAACACTTAAATAGCTCTTCAATTTCTGGCTTCAAGTGGCCCCTGTTTTATCTTCTCTCCTCCCTCAGCCTCTGGCATCCTGAGCACTCACCCCTCCCATGTTCAGCTCTTTCCACTGACCTCAGAAGGGGAGGGCTGGCTCAAATAACACACTTGTCAAAACACCTAGGTAAGCACATCGGTGGGAGACACCATATAAATAGATATATGGACACAAAGTGCTCTATACTGATAACAAAAACCATTTACAAACTCTCTTCACCTTCCAAAAGGTTTGTTTCCTACAATGATTAGTTAAATGTGAATGTCATCCACAATTTTAATTCTGTCAGCTTATTAGACAGACTTATTTTATATAGGTGCTGGCAAAGCTGCAATTGAAGGTGATTTTTAAGTTTTGGGTACGGCTGTGGCAAAAATTCTCTGAGTTTAAATAAGGAAATTAAAATTGACCAACAGAGGATGATCCAAAATAAAAATGCTGAAAAGTTTCTAAGGGATCCGTGGGAAAGGCTGAAAGAGCTGGGCTTTTTTGGTCTACAGTCAGAAAAATACAAAAGTAACAAGTTCTATTTACATAACATCTCTCTCTCCTGCTCTCCCTCAGGGGAAACCATGAGTTTGAAACATTTAGCACAGTGCTTGGCACATGGTAAGTGTTCAAAAAAATATTATTATAGTTAAATGAAAATATGAATGGATAGGTGTTTATTATTTAAAATAATACTGCAATCGTCATGTTTTTCTTATTTTTATCTTTAAATACTGACTGGTATAGTAGACATCGCTTCCTGTTTTACTTAGAATAAAATTCGAAGTGCTTACCATGGCCTACAAAGGCCATGATCTGCAACCCACCTATCTGGTAAACTCAGCTCTGACCACTGTCCCGCTTGCTCACTCTGCGCCAGCAACCTGACCTCCTAGTGCTCCTCACACAGGCCACACATTCCTGCCTCTGTGCCTTGCACATGCCCTTCCCTTCGCCTAGAACATTCATTCCTCCAGTCTCGGCTCAAGTGTCACCTCATCAGAGGGGCTTTCTTCACCACCCCATCCAAAACAGCAAATCACTTTATTCCGTTGTATTTGTTCTTATATAACTAACTTATTGCCTCCTGACATATTATATATTGGTTTTGTCTTCCAAAACTGGAAAGTCAGTTTTAGGAGGGCAGAGACTTTGTTTTGTTCACTACTGTATCCCTCGTGCCGAGGAAGTGCCTGGCACAGGAGTGTGATAAATATTGTTGAAGTCATGTTGAATGACTAAATTAATGAACATTAGATTGGAGTCCAGCCACTCGGGGTCTACTCCTAATTCTACTGCTAAATCATTGTATGACTTTGAACAAATGTCCCCTAACCATTTCTGAATGTGTTAAAGGATTGGTTGGGGATAGACGTTTTTGTTAAAGGATGGTTGGGAAGAGATGTTTCTAAAAGCCTCTCCCAGCTCCAAAATCCTGTGGGCTTTACAGATCATGCTCTAGTATAAGGTTTTAACAACAATAAAGCTTTTTTGATAGCTACAAACTAGAAGCCTTCTAGGGCATTTAATTATGATGCAAAACCCTGCTCCAATGGTGAAGCCTTTTCCAACCCTTCCAGGTAGTATGGATCCCAGGACTTTCTCCCTACTTTGAGGAGCTTCATGCAGACCTTTTCTTCCTTAAAGCTCCTCTAATAGGTAATGACATTATGTTTTTCTCTTTCTCCACCTAGAATATGAACACTTTGCAGTAACAGATTCTTAGTAATTTTTGTGTCACCAGTACCTTGCATGGCCCATGGTGGATAGTAGGCACTCCATGAATTAAGTTTAGTGAATGAATGGAGGTAAGCCACAATGGAATAGGATCATTACTCACATTGAAAACTGAGGCCATTACTCTCCCCTCATTGATGAATGGTGGGCACAAGGTAGAGCTTTGCTGCCAATAATAATTCATCTGAAAGAATATAAGAAACTAAAACTTACTGGGAACCTACTAAGAGCCAAGCAGTCCTACACATGTTCATCGTTTATTCAATCCTTATGACAACCTTATGAGTTAGGAATTATTACTATTATTTTACAGATGAGAAAATTGGGCTCAAAGAAGATGGAATTTGCTCATGATAGAACAGCTAATAGGATTCATACCCAGACCCCTTGATGCCATATGCCATATTCATATCACTGAATGATATCTCAGAAGAGTGGTTCTCTGATCCAACATAAGTATTGGTATGTGTATATGATGAGCTTTCCTGTACTATAAAAGCACTGAAGTACACAGACCTAGGCTCATGTCTTGGTTCTTGCCATATAACCTCAGAAAATTATATGAAGCCTCAGTTTCTTCATCTGTAACCGAACAATGACCTCATAGCATTGCTGAGAGGGTTTAAAATGAGACAACATGTAAACACTTAATTGTTTGTATGTGGCATAGGGTGAGCCACTTTTAACTGTAAAACTTTCAAGGAAGAACTAAGGAGAAGGGGTTAAGAATGATGACACATCATTCTCACCTTTCATCCATTAGAGAATATTCCAAGTTCTTACCTTCAGTCACAGATGAAAATAGAACTTTAGGCCATGTTTGTAAACTCATGCACAACAAAGTGGTTGGATTCCGGACAACACTCTGAGGTAGGAGTGAGTTGGGGACTCCCATTTCCCCCAGGAGTCCCGCTCCACTAACCCCTCTCAGCATCCAGCCCCAGCCACCAGCTCCTTTCCCACGGCCCCACCACGGTCCAAGCTCTAGATAGCTCCTTTCTTTCTGCTACTGCCTCCCTAATACAAACCCCCAGAAACTCAACTTTCCAATCTGCCTATCACAGTAATTTTCTAAAACACCAGTCTGTCATTCTAAATCCAGTTCAGTTTTACTGACTCCTTGTTACCCATGTCATCAAATCAAAAATAACAAATGTGATAGTTTTTCAAGGTGTCCATCACCTCTTCCTATTCCCTCACATTTCCATGCACTCTACTCATTCCAATCTCTTTCCCTGGTGTCCACCATCTGTAGTCAGAGCAGGCTCAAGTTCACTGCAGATAAATCATATCCTCACCTGAACGTCTTGACTTTTGTCAAGGGGCAATGCAACCCATTGTGGTGCTTTGAATTGACAGCTGCTCACATTTTAGAGTAAATGAGTTTTCAGATTCTCTTGGCAGTAAATTTTGGTTGGGCAAGGATATGAGCCACTAGGGGTAAAAGATTATAAAGGCTGGGGTTGACAGACTTCCCCTTCTCAAGACTGCCAGGAATAACAGGTCCCCTATTCCCTGTTCCACTTCCCATGGTGTCTTCTCTGCTCCTCCTTTCTGCAGCTCCTGCCGCTACTTCAAGGCAGTTCCAGCTCTACTCTCTCTCTTCTGACCTTCCACAGTACCCATGGTCTGGCCTTCCCTCCGCTTTTAATTTATTTAACATTCAGTCTTATACTTCCCATATTTCTTCCGGATCTTTTCCACAAAGTCCTTGAGGGCACAGCCTGTGCCCGCTGCCCACTTGGTAGTTGCTTGGTAAACACGTGATAGATATTCAAGACTTATCTGACTGTCCACCCTAATCAATGCCACTCTGTGGGCTCCTTCTTCAACCTCAGCTCTGCTGGCTTTCGTTGGGTAAGATGGGCATTCTGAAATGGTACACATCCATCTGTCCCCTTCAAAGACTTTCCACTGATATGAACAGACTCAGGAAGAGATATCACTGACTGACACACAGTCAGGAAAAAAACAAAAACCCACTCTCAAAGAGAACAAGTGAAGGTAGAAGCAAATCTTTAAAAAAGAGATGATTCCTACTCTTCTCATTTTAGGGCCATCCTAAAGGCAGGTAGGAAGGATGAGAGAGCAAAGTGTGGGAGACCCATCTTTTTATATAGTATTACTCAATTGCATTCGCATTCACTGAAACATTGATATTTGGGACCATGGAAAAAGAAGCAGGATTTTAAGTACAGGGGTCACTGAAACTCATGCTTCTTTTCTCCAAAGAATTTACGGCCTTTTATGCCAAAATAAGCCCCCATTATAGGAACCTAGCCCAGAGCCAGGCCCCCAGGAGACAGCCATACATTGGAAGGCACCAGAGCGGCCCTCTCTCTCTGCCTTGGCTCCACTCCCTCGTCCCCTAGCTCAAGCTCTCAAGATTGTTCCTGTGCCTTGGGCCAGACGTAAGCGCTCCAGCACATTTGTGCAGTTAGGCAGGACCCTAAATTAATCCCCAGGAATAAACAAGGGCAGCAAGTCACAAGGAGCTGGGGGGCGGGGACGACGAGCTTTGCTGCAGGCGGGCCTGTCACTCCAAGCTGACAGCACGAGCACCTTCACCTTCAAGTTCTTTAAAAAGGCAATGCGCTCCAGACAAAATGCTTAGCTCCAGGGACATGAACCCTGGAGGCTGAGAAGCTAAAGCGAAGAAGAAGAAAGGGTGCAGCCGGCTGCCCTGCGGAGCACCTGCCGGGCAGCACTTCCAGGCCGCGCGCGGCGCCGGGCCGAGGCCCGAGGAGAGAGGCTCGCGCTACCTGGCGTCCGGCTCCTCCTCCGACTCCGCCGCCGTCTCGTCCTCCTCGCCCTCCGACTCCTCGGTCTCCAGCCCCCGGGTCGCCTCCTCGTCCCCGTCGGAGCCGAGGAAGCTCTCGGTCGCGTAGGTGCTGTCGCTGCTCGCCATCGCGCTCTCCCGGGCCGGAGCCGAGCCGAGCCGCCCGCGCCGCGCCTGGTGTTCTCCCTCCGACTGCTCGGGCCCTGCCCTCCCTGCCCTCCCTGCCCTCCCTGCCCTCCCTGCCTGGCGGCTCGGGTTCCCACGCCCCGGGCGGGCGAACGCGGCGACTTTAAATAGAAGGCGTCAAAGTGTTTCGCCACCAGCCTCTGGGGCCCCGGCTCAGCTTCTCCTCTTCTCCGCGCGTCTGCCAACTTCCCCAGCCCTCTCCCGCCCCAGTTTTGGCAGATCCCTGGCGGGCCTTTAGGGCAACTGGAGACCACTTTAAGGGGGCGCGGGCTTTGGCTGCACCCGGGGACTCAAAGGAGGAAAGGCTCCAGAGTGAGTGTAGCAGGTTCTATGTTTTGCGCTTAGCTTCTTGGTGGTCCCTTGATCTCAACCAAACAGTAACCACATCCTGAGCAGAGCACTTACTACTATCAGGCAGTCCGGAGAGCTCACTTTCACTACGTACTCAATTCTTTGGTGGTACCTGTAGCAGGTTTTACTGTAGTGCCTGTTTCTCAGATGAGGAAACGGAGACGCTCAGAAGAGCTCCAGTAGCTTGCAGAAGGTCTGTCTCATTGCTAGCAAAGCGACCCAATGGGAAACAAAGCTAGGTCTGCCCTAATCACAAGCCCAATTTTGAACCACTTCAGCATTGGCTCTCCGTTTGCATTTGCAAGTCAATAAATTGTGTATTCTCGTCCTCAGAGGCCCCTGATTGTTCAGCCAGGAAACTTTATCTCCGCTCATCTTAAACCTTAAGGAGAAATAGTTTTCCCCACATTTTGCCAAAGGCTACATTTTGTCTGAAACTTGGCCCAAAGGCCCCAGACTTTCCCTGGATCGTATCAAACCGGTGCCTAAAAACCCATCAATGACTTCCCATTGCTCAAGGACTAAAGGCCAGTACCCTTAGGAAGGTAAGTGTTGCCTTACAGGTCACATTTTACCCATCTGGTGTCTTCTCCCATCTTTATTTACCTGGCTACCCATCATGCAAGATTACTACCTTTCTCTAAAATCCCCAGGTTAAACTCAAGTACCCTTCTTCTAGGTTCCCACATCATTCTACATTCAAACTGTGTTTGTATCTCTTTCTCCTCAGATTTTGTAAATTTATTACTAACCTTTGTCCCACCATCCCCATCCCTTTACAAGCCTATAAACTAGCAAATTACCTAGCATGTAGCAGGTACTTATAATGAATGCTCCCTGAAGGGAACAGCACCAGACCTGATGAGTACATACAAGTCAAGGTATCTTTGCAATACATAAAGATCTTCAATTCATGAGAATGATTTTATGGCTAGAACAGTGAACTTTATTTTTAATTACAGCACATCCTATTCATAGAGTTGTTAAATATGATGAATGTAAGCTGGGTATTATTCACCAGTTACACTAGCTCGTAGGCTTAGGTCTACAGGCAGCAAACTGTAGATAGTTCAGACAGTACAGAAGCATCAGCTAGTGAGGCGTAAGAAGTGAAAACAGCAGAGTCCAGTCTTCTAGGGTTAAGTAAACCAGGTGTAATGTCAGCAATATTTACTCTCTTAACACCAGCTAGGCTTTTTCCATAAATAATCCCAAATGACCTTGCCCACACAGGACAAAAAGAATTCAATCACAGCTGTGGGAATCTGCTAAACACTAATTAAAACTATAGGTAGCCATTCTATATTTCTTCCATTTAACTAAAAATTTCTTAGGAACACTAAAGTCTACATGATTTATTTGCAAAGATCCTAATTTGAATCAATACAAAATTGGTAACTGCAGTACAGATTGCACATTTTTAAAACTAATATAATTTTGAGTAACAACACATGCAAATACAGTTGGCCTTCTCTATCTGTGGGTTCTGAATCTGTGGATTCAACCAACAAAGGATGGAAAATACTTAATTGGGGGGTTGTTGCTTCTATACATGTATAGACCTGTTTTCTTGTCATTATTCCCTAAACAATACAGTATAACAACTATTTACATAGCATTTACACTGCATTGGGTATAAGCAATCTAGATAAGATTTAAAGTATATGGCAGTATATTTTAAATGCAAATACTATACCATTTCATATAAGGGACTGAGCATCTGTAGATTTTGGTATCTACAGGGATGGGGGTTGGGGTCTCCTGGAACCAATCCCCCATGTATACCGAGGGACAAATGTATATAGAAATGGACAGGCCAGACACGGTGGCTCACACCTGGATTGCTTGAGCCCAGGAGTTTGACACCAGCCTGGGCAACATAGTGAGACTCCATTTCTACAAAAATAATTTTTAAAATTAGCCAGGAGTGGTGCAACGTGCCTGTAATCCCAGCTACTCAGAAGACTGAGGCAGGAAGATCGCCTGAGCCCAGGAGTTTGAAGCTGCAGTAACCTATGATTATGTCACTGCACTTCAGCCTGAGAAACAGAGCCAGAAAGCAAAATCCTATGGAGAAAGAAGAAAGGAAAGAAAGGAAGGAAGGGAAAGAAAGAGAAGGAAAAGAAAAAGATCAACACAAATAGAAAAATAAAGAATTTAGTATTCACCACACAAATAATTGAGACTGAAAATAACTTACATGCCTAAAAAAACTTTTCAAATGTTAAAAGACACTTATCTGACATATATGGCCCTTCATAAGGTGCATAATTTTAGGCTTCAGTCTACTGATTTAGAATTGAATCTAAATTTAAGTTTAGTAACTTCTTGATCTATTTGTTACAGTAAAACAGCTGAAAAGAAGCAGAAGCAAGGGTGATCACTGAAAGCTGAGGAAACAGTGGCAGAGAAGGAGTCTCTGGGGCTTTATTGGGAAACGGAATAATACCATAGTGGCAGAGTGCCCCGCATACTTACCCATCCCTGAGAGTTGCACAGCATTACCAAATAGTTCTATGACTAATGTATATAGTGATTACTCAGAATATCACTAGAATATTAATTCTATTCAATATATTCTGATAAAGAACTGCTGAGTATATAATAAATTTTAAGAAAATTTCTAAGAAAATGAATATAAAAAGCTCAAGTGCATTAAAAGTGTTACACATCACTAATCTAAAAACTTCACCTATGTGGAAAGCTTCATTTCTAATAAGGCCAAGAGAAATAAGTATTGATGTAGTTAGCTGGCTTAACCACAAATGAACTTGATTCCAAGATTCTCTGTAATCTCTAAATAATCAAGTATAATAATTAGATTTAGTTCAGTTCTAGATAACTACAGCCTCAATCTCATCTCAAAAGTAAAGACTTTCACAGAAAAAAAAAAAACAACACCTCAACAATTTCCGTATATAAACTTTATTCCATTTGATGTCATACAAAAATTTAAACAAAGAAGAAAATCAAAATGTGGACCTTTTACAAGTCAAAGAAAAGCAAGTTTTAGCGTCTGCAAAAAAAAAATACATTAGAGGTACAAACTGTACTACAGCAGGTCTAAAAAGAAGTTGTACATAGTCCTTTTGAAAAAGTTAAAACAGTTTTCAAGATTACTTTTTACATTTAAATTTACAGGTACTGACCAATTTACAAATATTTACATAAGTCAAAAACCACCTTAACAAACACTGTAGTTTTAGCAGCCACCACTATGTCTTTTATGTGGAAAAGAAATACTACAAAAGATAATTTTACAAATATTAAGCTTTTATTTATAATAATTTTATTGTGTCTTATCTAAAACATTTTGTAGTGGCTTATTGCCTAAAAATTCCAGTTTAGATTACAATCCTATAATTGTACACAGAAAAAAAATCTGATACTACAAACAGGATATAATCCTAATTCTGACCTTTCAGTTTGTTGTTTCATGTCACAGGGGAAATAGAGCAGGAAAATGGGAAGTAAAGCAAAAGTGCACATTGCACTAAGCCATCATAAAGCACAGGAGACTTAATCTATTCAAAATGTCTACACTGAACTGATTCTTTAAAACAATTCACTAACTGTTGTAATAGTTAGTGCTCCTATTACTACAGTGCAAAATGTATTGTTGTTTCAATACAAAATTTAGAGCAATCTCAAGAGTACATCAAAAGCATGTGAAGTACTAATGAAATGCTAATATAAACACACCCAAAGCCTCAGTCTATCCCAGTGAGTCAAGTGAAGACTGAAGGCAATTGTCCAGTATTTCATGATTTTGCAGTGATTTCACTGAAATAAGAGATTTCATTTTGCTTCAAGTAACTGAATAACTGACTTGAATCTTCACTTTACTAGAACAGACTAAGACAACAAACTATCTACTGTAGGTTATACTTTAAGCATGTATGGAATTAGATCCTTTCCAAAATTCCACCCGTCACTATAGCATGTGATACAATTAATGAAGTTATATCAAAAACCTTTTATTTGTTCAGGTAATTTCTCAAAATATATTTATCTGATCTCCTGAAAATTCATGCCATAATACTACTAATCAGCAATGTAAACATTTTCAAAAATACAATTTTAAATCAAAGGGTTTTATTAGGAAATGTCATAATAAAATATGTAATCTTTATATGTCTTTTTAAAAATAAAACATGAAAACAAGAAAAAGAAATCATGATGGAGGTAAACAAAATGCATTATAACATAAGTATTATTCTTTATTTCTTGGAAGAATTATTAAGAAATAGAGGTCAGTTATCTTTTCAGGATAGCAGTTCTTGAAGGTAGTATACTGTTCAAATCTCGTTTGTTTTTCAACCTGTGCCATGACTGGGAGAGAAAGAAAAATCATTCCTAAAGCCTAAAATATACAAAACAAAAGACTGAAAGAATTTAAAAGAATGTTAACAATGGTTCTCTCTAGGTGATAGAATTTTTGATAATTTTTTTCTTCTTTGAGTTTTTACTTCCCAAGTTTTTAATATAATAAAACCATTGTTTTTGTTATCAGAAATGAAAATGTTATTTGAAAACTCTATACCAGTGTGGTTCCAATTCATTAATAAAGAAAAGGGCACACAGGTGGTACAAGAAGATACAACTGACAATATTAACATTTGTTCACAGATTACATAATTTCACCTAAAATAGCAA